AGGGGCCGTATAGTGGGACTTCGGGAAGCTGGACTTTCTTTTTGTGCAATTGCAGTTCGAGTGCAAAGAAGTGTAGACACTGTGGTTAGGTGTTGTCAGGCATGGCTTCGAGAAGGCCGTACGCAAAGAGCAAGGGGCACTGGACGCCTCCGTAGAACAACAGACCGTGAAGATCGCCGCCTAAGATTATTGGCCTTAAGGGACCGTTTCTCCACTACCAAGTCCATTGCAAATGAATGGTTTGCAGAACACGGAAGACCTATTGGCATGCGAAGCGTTTACCGACGAATGAGAAGCTTTGGCTTGTTTTCATACCGGCCACACTGGGTCTCCTCCCTTTAACTCGAGAACACCGACGTAATCGCCTTGAGTGGTGCAGACAACGGTCACTCTGGGATCAGGAATGGAACAGTATTGTCTTTAGTGACGAGTCTCGATTTTGTTTAGTCATGCACGATGGTCGTGCCACGGTTAGAAGGCGACGTGGTGAAAGGAGGAATCCGCAGTTTTTTGTTGAAAGACATGTTCATCACACTGTTGGAGTTATGGTTTGGGGTGCTATAGCTTATGGTTCCAGGTCACCTTTAATCTTCATCAGAGGTAACATGAACGCGCAGCGTTATATCTACGAAGTTCTAGAACCCCATCTTTTACCCTATCTTGACACCTTGGCAGATCCAACTTTCCAACAAGATAATGCCCGACCACATGTTGCAAGAGTCACAATAGACTTCTTTCAACATAATGATGTCACATTGTTACCATGGCCACCCAGATCTCCCGACTTATCCCCAATTGAGCACGTGTGGGATATGATGGGTAGGAGATTGCTCAATTGGCAACGTCCTCCTCAGACTCTAGAAGCACTTCGAGAGGAGTTGGTGGTTGCCTGGAATGAGATACCACAGGAGGACATTGACCACCTGATCAGAAGCGTGCCTAGGCGCGTTGGAGAATGCGTAGCACATCTGGGTGCATCCACACATTATTAAAGGTCAAAGGGCTGTAAAGCAGTGCAATCATTTTGAAATTTTTATCATTTACTTATTATGCTTCATTAAGTACTTATACAAAATTTTATTAAAATAAAACCATTTAAACTGGGTGTTCGGATTTATATGTCACTTAGTATATGTATGAGTTTGTTAACAAAGCATAACAAATAAAATTTGTGCAACTTTGCAACGTCCAACCAATTCAGCTGTCCGAAATATGAGCTATTTTCTTAAATTGAAATTCAAACTGCACCGGGAGTTTTGGATTTTTTTAGACGCTTAGCTAAAACTGAATCTAGAAATAGATAGTATACTAACTCACAATATGTGATTCCTTATATATTAAATATTCACATACATCTTTTTTGGACGGTGAAACCAAGTATGTCTTCCTTTCAAGTACAGATGCCGTAAAACATGTGCAACAATTTGTTACATTATTTGCATGAGCTATTTTCTTAAATTGAAATTCAAACTGCAACGTGAATTTTGAAGTTTTTTTAGACGCTTAGCTGAAACTGAATCCAGAACTAGATAGTATACTAAGTCACAATATGTGATTCCTTATATATTAAATATTCACATACATCTTTTTTGGACGGTGAAACCAAGTATGTCTTCATTCAAGTACAGATGCCGTAAAACATGTGCAACAATTTGTTACATTATTTACATCAGCTATTTTCGTAAATTGAAATTCCAACTGCACCGTGAATTTTGAAGTTTTTTTAGACGCTTAGCTGAAACTGAATCTAGAACTAGATAGTATACTAAGTCACAATATGTGATTCCTTATATATTAAATATTCACATACATTTTTTTTTGGACGGTGAAACCAAGTATGTCTTCATTCAAGTACAGATGCCGTAAAACATGTGCAATAATTTGTTACATTATTTACATGAGAAATAAATTAGAGATTTTCATATATAAACAAACCTTAGGGCCAATTTCACTATCGTTAAGCAGTTTGGAAGAATTGGAAAAGATCTTATTGAAATGAAATTTGACGGAAGCTATCAAAGCTCTCTGAATGACTTCTATTGAGATATTGAAGAAAATCGTGAAAAAGCGATTAAATTATAAACAAGACCACTTTTTGATTCCAACATGATGCTTTTGTACAGAGAAAACAAGACAACTTTCACGTATTTTGCTAGTTCTTATCAATTTACAAATAATAGGTCGATTTTCCAGCTGTTAAATTTAGCAGAAGCTTTGGACGTTTGTTAATGCATGGCAATCTCGAATTTGTCAAGTTCAATATACTGAGTGCTTATACTAGGTTATCATTATAACTACATACCTGTTGAATAGTGTGGATTTGACTGTATTTTGCGAGAAAATAGAATATAAAATACATTCCAACCAATTCCTCATATTCCTTTACATCATAATAGTAATCATTTATTAATTTACGGTTTAATATGTGTAAGACGTGTCAATCCCTACATCTCCGTGATGTATACTGCAATGACTATGGACATAGACAAAACATTGTGAAAAATGTCTCGCAAATAATTTCCAAAAATCATAAAAACTAATAATGTTTATGGTTTGATTGCCTTTTTGACTGGCGGGGATATATCTCTGTCACTCGCAGGGTTGCCCCGTCTAACAACGATCACGTCCCGTGGTGGAGGGTGCGAAATGAATCTTTTACAGCTGCTGGTTTTGAATTTAAAGTAGGAACACAAACATAGTACTTATGATAGTTGGAGATAGACTGATAACACTTCTTTTAGAATATTTGAAAAGTGTGAATACCGTCTGTTGTCAAATTGCAAATGAAGTATCTGAAAATCCTTACATACAGTGGAGTAAGCTAATCCATTATTACGGTGAGGCTTATGTCGTTGGCCTTGATATCACGAAAGCGTTCAGTCAGCTGTGGCACGCTGCCCTCTTATGCAAGCTTCCATCCCATGACCTTCCACAAAGGCTTTGCAGATGGCCGCAAGGTATCCGTCGTGAATGACGGGATCTCCTGTTCCATCCCGCAAGGTCAACGCGGGTGTTCCCAAGGGATTGGCATTGGCTCCGACACGGTTCTTCTTGCATATCAACGACCTTCTTTCCTGTACGATCAGCCCAATCCACAGCTTTGCTGATGACAGAACTCTACATGCTGAGCTGGAAAAAAAGAAGATTAGCGACGACTTCCTCTCAGACGAGAGACCTGGAGGTTATCAGTGCTTGGGGACGCAACAATCTTGTACAGTGTAATGCTTCCAAAACAAAGTACTGCACCGTGAGGAACAAAAAGCGTCGTAGGGCTCATACTGCTTCGATGGATGGCCGGGTTCTGCCAAAGAGCCGTTCATTTAGGCTGGTCGTAGTCCAGATCACCGAGGATTTGATCTGGCACGAACACGTCTTGTCAGTAGCGGCAGCTGCTGGGAAAAAGCTAGGCTATTTGTTTCGGGCTCAGAAGTACTTCCGCATGACCTTCTCACTCTATAAAAACAAGGCCTAGAGAAGGCCCAGCCTCGAGTATTGCTCACACGTTTAGGGTGCCGTCGCCCCGACTATATTATATATGCTCGATGTTGTCCAGAGAAGGGCTGTCCGACTGATCGATGACTCTTCTCTAGCAAACAGTCTCGGGACTCTTTCACACCGGCGGTCGTCGGCGATCAAGTTCTCTTCTACCGCTACACCAACGGGCTTTGCTCCTCAGAGTTCTCTTTCATGATGCCGCCGCGCACTGTGCCTGCCATACAGACTCAACTGCTTTGGTACAAAAAAAATGACTACAGTAAAAGCTTCTTACTTCCATTGTATGTTGGCTGGGGAGATAGCGCAGCTTAATCACTAGTTGCGTTCGGCACTTGAAAAGGCTTTAGGTGTAAAAAAGGCGAACTTTAATGGAATTACCAATGTAGGCAAAAATGTTGCTGGAAATCGCCAGCGGACAAGTGGAGAAAAAAGTAGCTAAAACATACAGGAAATCGCTAAGTCTGGTAACAGTGTTGTTTGGTCCAGATGACACGTCACTCAGTCGCGACTAGGATAGTGATGGGATATTTTATTCATACTGATCGGTGCACGAAAATAACTGAACGGCTCAGCACACTGAAAGTGGGAAAAGAGAGTTTTCTCAGGTACCAAAGGGAACTAAGGAACAGTCAAATAGGCATTCCATCTGACACGCATGAAACATCTGGCGAAATCAGGTTTAAGTGTTGTATGAAAATGTTTTATTGATATCGATGAATTTCTGGAACAGTCAAACGTCTGAAAAATCTTTGGAAGATTTGAAAACCTCCAGAAATTATATAAACGTAGCCATCAGTCAAGCGAGCCAAAAATCTTTCGGAAGCAAGTGTCGAGAACCTCAAGCTCCAGGGGCGCGGGGGAAAGTGGAAAATCTCTGACATGTGAGGCAACTTGAACTGAGATGACATTATAACTGAGAAAGGGGCCAAAATAGAAGCTACTGAAATCAGCCTTGTGTGGTCTAAACTGTTAAATATTACCAAGCTATTCAATCACGTTTTCTTTCAGTGAAGCCAGTGTTGGACTGGTGCATATTCCAAATTCTTATAAGAGAACCAATTTATATAGTCAAAATCACGAAAGATGACGATTACGTCATCATTTTATTCTGTAGTAAAGACAAACGACAGCCATTTGTGAATATTTTTAAATGAAGGTCCAGATGTGTTAGACAGAGACAAACAAAATTTTATTGTCTAAACAAGTAGTATTGCTGAATTGCATGTATCCGATAAAGTCAGACGATTTTTGCATGTTTCATGATCGATCACATTTGAAAGATGACAAGTGAGGTTGTCATGTCAGCGTGTTGACAGTTCGTTGCAGGGTAGGTTGTTTTCGAACAATACTTTGGTCGTTGGTGTTCCTGTCTTGAGGTGTATTCTGTTGTGTGTATAACTGTTTTTTTCAAAACAAAAACTCCTCATAAAAATTATTATTAAGGTAGAAACTAAATAATTTCCAACATAAGAGCATCATTTAAGACTCTAATTCTAGTTTTCGCTATGAAAGGCAAAACTCTTAGCTCTCAATCACGGGGCTTGGTACTATTCTTGCTATTACCATTGTTAGCTGTCCAAGAGGTTTGTAATAGTTAGAAATATGGTCATATGATTGACAATTTATTCTATATTATTTTTCAGAGGGTGGCTCGGGCACTAAGTATCAGTTTGTCCACTATTACCAGAATACAGCGCCGTTTATCATCTAATGATAATGTCCTAAGATCACCTGGAAAGAAGAGACCCAGAAAAAAGTCTAAGACAACAGATTTATCTCATGCAGTCAGGCATAATATACGAGATACAGTGTATCAAATGTATAGTGAAAGTAATGATGATGAGCGTGAGATGGTACATTCCAAATTATTGATTTTTTGTTTTGTTTCAGAGAAACATGTCACAATAGTAAATTTGAATAAAACGCTTAAAGAGAAAGAGCTTGCTTCTATCAGCAATAGCTCTTTACAAAGAGTGCTGCCCACCATAGGCTTTAAATATAAAAAAGATGGTAATAGAAGATTTCTAGTTGAGCAATCCAGTATTGCTTTACTTCGCACCAAATTTTTGAGAAGTTATAATGACTATGTGAACACTTCCTCGCATCAAATTGTTTTCATGGATGAAACATGGATAATTTCAAAAGGCAGTCCAAAAAAGTCTTGGCAAGATGAGTCAATAAAAAGTGTAAGGAGACCATTGGGCTTTCAAGGAAAGCGATTTATTGTTGTCCATGCAGGGAGCGAAAAAGGATTTGTTGATGGAGCAAGTCTGTTATTTTCCTCACAGTCTAAATCTGCAGATTACCATGGTGATATGAACGGCGAGACATTCATTAAGTGGTTAAAAGAAAAACTCCTCTGCAAGACTCCAAACACAAGTACTCCAAAAAAAGAGATTATTGACTGGCTGGTTAAAAATGAAATTGTGTTCCAACCAACATTAACTAAAGTGGAGTTATTGAATATAGTGAAAAGAAATCGTAAGGAAAAGAAGTATTTAATAAATGAAATCATAAGAAGTTATGGACATGAAGTTCTTCGTACCCCCCCATACCAGTGTGAATTTAATGCCATCGAGTTAATATGGGCCAATGCTAAGCAGTATTATGATAGACATATTGGAAGATGTGGTCATAGTGATGAAAATGTTTTAGCTATGTGGAAAGAAGCTCTGTCACAAATTACACCAGAGGTTTGGAAAAAATGTGTGAAGCATACCCATGATGTAATTTTAGAGAGGTACAACAAAACTATTACTCGTAAAATAGAACCACTAATAATCTCATTTGATTCAGATAGCGATACTGAATCTGACAGTAGCGATTAATTTTTAATCTGAATTTGACCATAATTAATGGAATAACATATTGAAATGTACATTTTATTTTATTTGATATATGTTCTATATAATTTTGTAGCTTATGCTAAAATGAATAGTGGATGGCATGACATGAAATAGTACAAAAATATTTTCACTTTGGTATGCTTATTTGTGTTTGCATTTTTTTTATTAAATAAAACCATGTTCTCAGAATCAATTGGTCGTTTTAATGGAGCTGATACCAATGTATTATTATGATTTTGGTAAGAACTCTAGGGACTCAACAATATTGGATGAAAAATAGGTTCAAAATGCGTACTATTATTGTGAACAGAGGAAATGCTGTTTTTTTTAATAAACATGTAATTTTATTGCAAATAGAAGTCTTAAAATGTAAATTTGTGCACAGATAATGATAGTTTAAAATCATGAACACTAATTTCAAATGTCAATTCTTCTTTGGTCTATTCTCCTTCTCCAACGTAACTGTAGTCTATGTTTTGTGGTCACTTGTCACTTGTTGCTTTGAGCTTGTGTTGTTTCTGAAAAATGGATTTTTCATATAAAAAGTGCTCCCCCCAAGATTTTTCTTGTGTAGAATTGCATATTACACTGTCGTGTACAGTTAAATCTGCAATAACCTCCAAATACGTGGTTATGTTGGGTGTACCATGTACCATCACCGATGGTGCGACTGATTATAAACTGAAATTAAAACAAAGAACTGCAACTGCAATTGAATGTATGAATGAAATCGTGAACAGTTTCGGAACAGTGGTGTCAAAATGTCGTTGAGGACTTGGAAAGAAGTGTATGAATGTGTTGAAACGCAACACCTAACAAAAATTTGGTGAAAAGGCTTTTTCATGTAAGAATTTGGAAGTTTGCAAATCTAGGATAAACTATGAACACCCAGTAGGTGATGTGGAGTTAATATGGATCACATATGCATCACAAAAGTTAAACATGGAGAAATCTTCAGCTAAACTGAAAAAAAAAATGGATTTTACTCAGCCATCAAGCATTTTTTTTAATTTGGGCTCAGTTTTATATAATTTTATAATATTTATGAAAACATTTCAATGGCAAGCTGTCACTTCATATTTTACAATGTTTTGAATACTTTGATGCTATTTGCTGCCAAAAATTGAGATCTTGAGGCTGATTGGGTATATTTGACCGACTGTTTAGTACTCGTACCCTATTGGTGCAGAATAATGGTTTGTTAAATTGTGAAATCCGCCCTTACTCTTTTAACTGATGCATCTATCTGAATGGCATGACCGTTTAAAGTTATGCTCGATTTATTTTTAGCAAGGAACCTTAGATTTTTAGGAGAATAAACAATAATTTTGAAATAGAATTCAGATCCTTTATTTTTTGTGGTTCCAAGATTTTTAAATTTCTATAATGGAAACTATGATATAATTGTGAGTCGTCACTGAAAATCTGAATAATACAAAATTTCATAACCCGATTTATATCTGCTGTATCATGAATAATATTGACAACCTTGACATACTAGTGCTGTAAGTGATGTTTCATGTTACATTATACAGGGTGTTTGGAAGATCGAAATAAGCTATTGAAACATGCTTTGTTGGTGTTCAAAGTGAGAACAATTGTTTCTAATACATGCTCGAGCTCTACGTGTAACTTCGGTAGTTGTTGTATTTAATATGATAACCTGTCTTGTTGCATTAAATAAAAAGATTCTCGAATTTTTATTATTAAATGGTCTCTTGATACGATTTCTTCAGTGTAAAATAACTGTTTAGCCCGCCCTCAGACATAGAAATCCAATGGTGTCATGTTCCGGATCTAGCAGGACACGGAATTGGTCCACCTCTACCTATCCAGCTATTTGAAAAAGTATCGTCCAAATATTGTCTTACGTCTGAACGAAAATGCGCTAGACATCCGTCGTGTTGAAAAACAATTTACATGTCATCTGGAATTTCTTCTCCTACAAGTAATTCGGGAAGATCATTTTGCAAAATGTGTAGATAACTGTCACCGTTTAATCTTGCATAACAGTCACCGTTTAATCTTGCAGACAAAGAATGAGGACCGATTAATCTTTGTCCCACAACGGCGGCCCCGTATATTAAAGAAAAATTTGTGCTGGAAAGATACCTGTTTTACCAGTGTAGATTTTCCTGCTTATCAGCCCATTAATGCAAATTGTTAAAATTTGTAATGCCCTCCTTTGAAAAATTACATTCCTCCGTCAATAGAATGCTTTCCATGAACCGTTCATTCTCGATGTCACTATGTAAGAGAAAACGACAAAATTGGCTTCTGCGAATAAGATCACCATCTTCAAGTCCTTGTGCGCCGATACCATGAAAAGGATGTTTTCGTTCGCGCTGACATTAGGCAATCTTCTCACGTGAAATCAATTCAATTCAATTCAATTCAATTCTTTATTTGTGTCAAGTACACCAGCGTGTTTACACAAGTCAAAAGAAAATAAAATTAATACAAAAAGCAGTCTGACAAAAGACTGATGTTCAAATTAGACAAAAAAACATCAACTTATGACATTATGATTCAATAACAGCAGATACAGCAAGTCCATATAAATTGTAAAAACAGGAGGACATATATTCGTACATAGATACACGCATATTCATTTAACCACAATACGTATGTTTACTTCTACACACACACATATATACATATATACACATATACACATATAAATATACGTTAAAATGGTAAGACATATGAAATGTTGATATAAAAATTTACCAGATGACTTAGTAGAAAGTTCAAGGAGCCTAGAGGATCCCAGGTGTAGGAACACTGTTATATTTGCCAACAATCCGACAAGTCTGAAAAATTATTGCTCAAATACTCGATGATCGAAAAAAATGCTTTAGTAGTCAGATAAGCATTAATTTTATTTTTAAAAACTTTCGCATCCTCCTTTATACGGTCTGGCAACAGGTTATAAAAAACTATCCCATAACAGTTTGTGCCGTTCCTGATGGTTTGGAGACGGCTATGAGGTACTAAGATTTAATCCATATTTCTGGTTCAATAACTGTGGACATCACTGTGGGTAGTATATTGGCTCAGGTTAGTCTTTATATACATCAGACATGTGAAGATGTAAAGAGAAGGTACTGTCATGATTTTCAATTCTATAAAAGCTTCCTTGCAAGGTTCCGTGTATTTTAGGCCAGCAATGTACAGCAAGCACCGTCGTTGTAATCCAAAAACTTTTGACGAATGGGCCGAGTGAACCCCAGTTTAACAATGCGTATGAAATTCTTGATTGAAAGTAGGAATAATATGCTAGAAGAAGAACTGACTGATAGACATTTTGTTTCAAGTTCCTTATCAAATATATAGTATATATACAGGGTGTTCCATAATTATTGCGACAAAATGATAGGGGTTGTAGACGGCATAAAAATATGCAATTCTGCCTTATAAACCCCTGTTCGTAAATATGCCGTTTGAGCACTACCGCTAATTTCACCTTAAGAGCTCATAGGAGAAACAAAAAATTCACCAGCCGCAAAATGTTCGTCTAGCATTTTTCATGGTTTCGCCGGTTTGTAAAAAAAGCCTGCTGTATTTACATTTTTGTTATCGTAAATTCTCCACATCGATTCATTTAATTTATCTGAGTGGTGCGTCAAACTAGATAGTAAATAACAGTACCTTAGTGTTAAAATGCAGCGTTATTCGTATGCGGAACTTGCGGATATGCATTTAATTTACGGAGAAGCTGGTGGTAACGGAAGACGAGCCTCGCGAATCTACCCCCAACGGTTTCCAGAACGTCCTCATCCGCATCACTCCATTTTTGAAAGGATTCATGGACGTCTTCGTGTCAGTGGCATCATCAGACACCTCGCGGGACCAGGGCGGCCCTTCACGAGGCACACAGTAGAATTTGAGGAAGCGATTCTGCATCATGTAGAGGACAATCCGCGTACAAGCGTGCGTGCTATTGCACATGATATGGGAGCGTCTCAAACTACTGTTTGGCGGGTTCTCCATGACAAGCAACTACACCCATACCACCTTTTAAAAGTCCAAGCCATGGGTCCAGAAGACTATCTGCCGCGTCGACGTTTTTGTCGTTGGTGGCTGCAGCAGGAGTTGAGGCAACCAAACTTTGGTCGCTACGTTTTGTTCACTGACGAGTCCTGTTTTACAAAGGACGGTTATTTTAATAGCCGTAACAGTCACATTTGGGATGAAGAAAACCCTCATGCCATAGGCATCCATAGAGACCAACATCAGTTTTCAATTAACATCTGGTGCGGCATGGTGGACGAGCATATCATCGGGCCATATTTGCTTCCACCACGTTTGGATGGGCATGCTTATGGTCGATTCTTACAGCATGTGCTACCGGAACTATCAGAAAATGTGCCACTGAACATAAGAGCCAACATGTGGTTTCAACACGATGGCGCTCCAGCCCACTTTTCTTTACAAGTGCGGCAGTATTTGGACGACAAATTTCCAAATAGGTGGATAGGCCGAGGTGGCCCTGTGCCTTGGCCTGCGCGGTCACCCGACCTGACCCCACTGGGGCCATCTGAAAGCTTTAGTGTACGAAACTCCTGTTCCCAACCAACAAGAGCTACTGGGAAGAGTGATGGCCGCGTCCGCACATGTTCAGGACATACCGGGGGTATGCTACAGAGTTCGCCGATCATTGAACAATCGTGCACAGCTGTGTATTGAGCAAGGTGGAGGACACTTTGAGCAATCACTGTAGGTAAGCTGTTTCAAGAAACTGATCTTTTTTTTTTGCTGCAGCCCAAACGGCATATTTCCGAACAGGGGTTTATAAGGCAAAATTGTTCATTTTGATGCCCTCTACAACCCCTATCATTTTGTCGCAATAATTATGGAACACCCTGTATATATATATATATATATATATTTTGCTAGTGCATCGAGAACATGGATTACGTGAGTTTTCCACGACAAGTGTTCATCAATATAGACTACTAGTAACTTCCCGGACTTTAGTGTATTAGTGTCGTGCTGCCTCAAGCTAAGAATAATCATCTGAGACTTGGTTTCATTGATGGTCAACTTATTAGCGGTTAACCAGTTTGCTAGTTTTCTTTTATGAGCCTCAGAGTCGAATATCAATGAGGCTCAAGAGGCATTGCTATTCATCAAGGTAGTGTCATCAGCGAATAGGATTAAGTTATTATTCACATTATAGTTAGTCATATCATTGACGTAAATTAAAAATAAAATAGGTCCCAATACCGAGCCTTGCGGTACCCCGTGAGCAGCGACTAGCTGTGAGGATGATGAACC